CATCTCCAAGCTCACGACTGCCTCGAGGACACCCCCTGTATCATGAGCGGTCTTTAAAATTCTCCGTGCTATCTATCCCTCATTCCTGATATAAATATCCTGTTTTATGTTGGTGTAAGAATCTTCAAAAGGATAAACAAATTTGTGAAATGTTATGTTATCGTTATTATTTACCTACAAAATTGTTAATTGAAATAAAAAATAATAATAATTTACTAGTCCATGAGTTTTGGGTGCAAAAATATTTATGTTAGATGTGTGGTTCTACGATGGCTTGGTGAACAAACCTTCCCTACAGCATAAGCAATGGGGAAACATGTATAAATAGTTATTTATTTATTTATTTTAACTTCGTTTTGTGGTTGGTCTGTAGTGAGTCTTACAGAAATAATATCATTATATTTGGGTTTCACCCTATTATTGAGTTTTAAATGTACATAGTTTGTTTCTTGCGATCTACTCTCAAGTACAATAATATGGTATTGAACGCCTATCAGTGTAATGAACTAATCTTAGTTATTTCTCAGTCTAGCTTGCATTCTCTATGTCAAACCAAGTTTGGGTTATTCTTATATTTCTTCTATACGACATTGTTTTGCATTTTTTTTTGTAAGAAATAAGAAAACTCTAAATTTGCACCACTTATTGGCATTCCATTAATAGATATCTAACTATAGTATATAGAAGTATGTTGACTTATATAATTTAGTGACTTAGCATTGCAGAAAAAAAGTTAAACCAGCCACATAAATAACACCATAAGACCATAGGTAGGACTTCTATCGGTTGACTCGAAAGAGATTAATCTGAATTGCTTCGTATAAAACTACGCGCGTGATTTTGAATGTATTAGTTGAATTATGTCTATGAAACTTGTCTGCACATGTATTTTAATAGAATGGCATTACAACAGTTGACACCTCTCAAGCAGGTTAAGTGCATCATTCCTTTAAGTAATCCTAGTGGATTTTCTTTGGTGAATTTTTAGTAATTCCATTTTGATCTAATACATAGGTGTTTGTTGCTAATATTGGTGATGCGAAGGCAGTGGTAGCCAGGTCACATGCAGCTGATGGTTCACATTGTGATTCGAGCGGATCGAATTCACTGAAGGCCATTGTTTTGACAAGGGAACACAAAGCCATATACCCACAAGAACGAGCACGCATTCAGAAGGTTGTCTTGCTTGTTGTAATGAACTTTTGCATTGGTAGTTGAGACACCTGGAAGTGGTGATGCCTATCCTCCATGTTTATGATTAAAGGCCTCTGTGGCATAAGAACAATTTCACAAAGTTCTTATTAGATATTTTGTTGTTTAGATCAATTAATTATTGATATAATTAATTATTCTCAATTTCAAAGATGACTTCGGGCTATCGTCTTGAAATATTTATGCTCTTTTGGCTCAGGGCATGGGGGAAAGATGCTGATTAGGTTATTAGTTTCTATTTTACTAATATTTAGGATGACCAATATTCTTGTCATGTAGTAGTTACTATGTGATTACTTTGTGGAACAAAAGCTGGGTACTGTAGTGATCATTCCTTTATGTGGGTCTCTGATGATTTTAGAATCTGCTGTAAAGTTCTGCCCCTGTACTGCATAGATGATCATGATGTTAAAATCTGAAGAATTAATCGCATGAATATATTACTGGAGTTTAATCCAAAATAGATAGGATAGTTCTGTTTTGTTAGTTATGGTTCATTAAAGGAACTTCCAAGATATTTAATGGTTTTTTCTGTTTAGTCCTCTTAATGAGAGCAGCAGTGTAATGATTTCTTAAACTTATTTAGTTATGACTTATGATAACCTAGTTACCTTATGAACAAAAACAGAAAATTCAATTCCATTCGTAACGAATAAGTTTATCAAGGGTCTCACCTTCACCAGGCTTAATTCCTGATGTTTAAAGAGAAAGCATAGATCTACCTAAAGCAGACCGCGTATTCTGCAATTTATTTATGATGTATATTCGTAATTCCACTGGACAAGATTATGGAATGTGAATTTATCAATTAATGTATCAAGTTCTCTTTCTTAACAAGAAATTTGCTATCCAATTGTACATGTGATCCTAGAGATATAAGCTTTGTGATCCCTGGAGTTACAGGAGAAAGAAGAAAGCCTTCTTTGCTTAGCAGTGTATATATCTTATGCTGTTTATGAAGAATGAATACTTTCTCAATGTGGTTAGTTGTTAGCTGTTCCTGGATCTGAGGACGTGGATCCTTTTGTTGAAAGAAATGACATTTAGCATTTGAAAATCAGACTGTTTAAATGGCTGTTACTGGTTTCGGTACATGTATGTGCGTGTATAATAGTAATTGTTCAAAGCATTCATGGACTAACAATTTTATAGGGAGAAAAAGGTAATCCACTAGTTAGAATCACCAATTTACAGATTGTTCTTCTGAAGAATAGTGCTATTTGATAATGTATTTCACGTCTGCCTCTGCTGTTTTCTGTTCTTACTCTTTTAAACTGTATGCATATACCTAGATGAATATATATTTAGCTTAATATTTTAATTTCCATAGGCTGGTGGATCTGTTGGTTCGAATGGACGCTTGCAGGGACGACTTGAGGTTTCTAGAGCATTTGGAGATCGGCAATTTAAGAAGGTTCTACTTTGGTTCCTCTATTTCCAGCATTCATTTGATGCCATTCATTTTGATGCTCTCATTTTTTCTGTCTCATGTTTCTGCTTCTTTACTTGCATGTTTAGTTTCATTTGTCATATTTATTTTTTCAAATGGTGGGCAGATATGGGAGAGTCCTATATTTGATGGACATGTTACTTTATTTATGACATACTGATGCTAGCATGGACTTACTATTATTAATGTTTTCTTGAGTAAATTTTCTGGGGATGATATGGAAGGTAAGTATCAAATATAATGAAAGACCAAGTTGTCTGTACCTATGAACCTTGATCAATGATCTTTGCTAAGGCCAGCAATGTCACTTGAGCTCTACATTTGTGATGTTTGGAATCACTTTTGTCGAACAATCTCCATGAAATTCACAAAGAGCTCGTATGAGAAGTTATTTCATTAAAGTTTTGAACTTTAAGCAAGCTATAAAGTAAACTTGAATTTCTAACACTTTAGGGCACTATAATCTAGTTTTAGGTTATTATTTTGTGAGTAAAATGTTATAGCACATCGCACTTATGGGTTCCTCAACATGCTTAGAGCTTTAAGATGGATTATTTTAGTATTTTCCATACACATCATGCTGTTAGTTTCTGAAATTGCAAAGTGAATTTCAGGTGGGTGTTATTGCAACTCCGGATGTTCATTCATTTGACCTTACTGAGAGAGATCACTTTATAATTCTTGCTTGTGATGGCTTGTGGGGGGTATATTTTCTGTTTATTGCTTCACAATTTAGTATTTTAAAAGATCTCTATTTTTTTCGCTCCGTTTTACTAAAGTTCGATCCAAATATCTTTTAAACTTTAGGTGTTTGGACCAAGTGATGCGGTTGACTTTGTTCAAAAGCTGTTGAAGGTTCGCTTTCATTTTCTGCACTCTTTGGGTCCTATGTTTCTGACATTCTGCTAAGCCTCATCCTCCAAAAAATAAAAATAAAAAAAGTTGTGAAACTTTTTAAGGCTAAAATAGAAAAAAAAAAAAATTGTGGATGGCTCACAGGCATCACATCACTATATGTTTGCACAAGTTGTTCACAAATTTTCTGTCTGCAAAAATAAGAAATTACAAGCAAAATTTCATTGTTCTGTTGTTGTTTTTATAGCTCTGCCTGTAAAAATCAATAGGTCTTTGAAATGTATAAACATTAAGTTTATTAATGATGGGGATAATAAACGAATTGAAGAAGACTTGGAGGAGAGGGAATAGTGAAAACACTTGCCAAATTTTAGGAGAGGAAGTAGTTTGAAATAAAAAAAACAGAGAAGCTAAGGAATACTTTCAAGTTATAACAATGGAATATAGGTGGTTCCATTGTTATCATTGTTATGTGATTCATGTCAATCAGAACGTAGATATGGGGCGTGTAATAAATGGAGCTTATTATTCTTTTTCTTTTTTGTCTATTAATCGAAACATTGATATGTACATACTGAAACTCGAAAACAGCATTTACCAAAGTTTTATTCTCCGATTAAAGTCCCCAAAAGACACATGAGATGCTTAATAAAGGGAAAATAAAAACTCGAAACAGTAGGGTCACAAACTAAATGATTCAGGAAAATTGACTGCGGCAGTACATGAACCTAAAAACCAGATAGCCTACTCATCAGGTGACAAACACCAACCACAAGAGTCCAAAGTCCTAACATTCAACAGGACTATCTGAACACTCTCAAAAACCATCATTTTATGTTAATCCCATTGGAATAAGTCCCTCATCAATAGGTCATAATCTGTTTATCATTTCCCTTTGATTTTGAGAAAACTTACCAAGAGCTCTCCTTAAATTGCCAAAGCAGTGCTACCAAGGATTAGGAGGGCTAGAGTTTGGTATTGTGAAATCCAAGTTTAAGTCTAAATCCTTTATAACTGCCAACAGCTAACCAAGTTGTATTGTAATTTTATTTGGAAATGGAGATGGTGTTTCCAAAAGTAAAAAAATAAAATAACGATAAAGAAAGAAAATCATTGAGAGAGTTCATATAAACAAATATAACATAAAAAGAATGAAAGGATTGATAAGAATGAGTTGAAGCTACCTAGCAAGTGATGCTAATTATAATGTGTCTTACAGGAGGGTTTACCAGTTAGAGAAGTTTGCCGACGCCTTGTGCGAGAAGCTGTCAGAGAGCGCTTGTGCAAAGATAACTGCACTGCAATTGTCATTGTTTTCAAGAAGCAGTGACAAAGTGTCGTCCAGATTCCAGTGACAAAGAAAAGTGTCGGTAGTTTTACTTTGCAATTTTCATTAACTGTGTGTGATGTGGATCATGTGCAGCTTGGCAAGATCTTTATTAACTTGTCGGATAGGCTGCCTAGATAGATATATGATGGTTTTGAGTATACGGTTAACATGGCTATGTAGTTTCAATTGCTGGATTTGGTAATGGGATTCGAGCAAACATGAGACAAATTGATGTTTTGATGAGTTCACAGGTTACCAACTGCCATGAACCAAACTAACCTGTTCATTGTAAGTCACATAATGTTCAGTCAAGAAGATAATTTGAAGGATTAAGAGAGGGAGAGGGAGGGGAGATGTGACCAATTCCATTAGTTTACAACTTGGTCGGAGTAATGACCTGTCTTTGTAGCAAATTAAAATGAGTTTTTCCTTGTAGCAAAATAAAATGAGTTTTTCTGAAATACTGGAATCTAGGTGTTTAATATGAACTACTACTTTTCCTCTCTTGGATTTGGATCGAACCGGTTGAAATGCGTTTCGATCTGCCCGAACTGTCAGGAATGAACTTGCAAAACCCAACGCTTGAGGGGTTTTCAGCGTAGAGCATACGATACTTAAGTCAGTATTAGGTAGATGATAAAAGTAGTGTATTGTATGAAGAGTGTAAAAGTTGGGATTTGGTGATACCTTGACTCCTTTTATAAGGGGCAGGGTCGGCCCTGGCCCAGATTGACCTGGGCAACGGCCCAGGGCCCATGCCAGGACACAACTCAAAAGTGGCCTCCATTTTGTATGTATATTGTTTAATTGTTGGGCCAATTCAGCCCAATTTTACATCACACTATATTAATTGTAAAATTTAAGGCAACTAAATCAATATATAGACTTTACTCTTTTTCACAAACCTTAATTGTAAAAAAATTAAATGCAGAACAATTAAATTTCACATAACTTTTTGAAATTTTAAATGAAAACCTACCAACCCCATCTTTATTTATATTCCTATTCAATTTTTCTTTTGGGTGTATCTTTAATTCTTTATAATGTGTGTATTACAAATTAAAAGCACTTTCATCCTAATCAATTTACAACACCTTGAATAAAATTCATTAAATAAGTAAAATGTGTTATTCAATAAAATTACATTAAAATAAAGGAGAGTTAAATTTCCTCACAAAACTTAAGATTTATATAAATAAAATATTCAACTTTCACATAATTATATAACTTTTTGTAAATAATGATTTCTTACTTATGATTAAGGGTCATTTTAATTTACTTATAACTTATATAATTAGCTTATTAACTTATTGCATTGAAATAAACAAAATTAGAGGCATTATTTTTTTATTAATTCATCCAAAGTTATATATACTTGTATATATAAGGGCTCTCATTGGCAAAAATGATTTACTTAGATTTTTTATGTGGAATAATTATTAAGAAACAAATATAAAGTTTTTTTTTTTCTTTTGGTAGCCAACCACGATATCCAAAAGTTTCGCCTCGACTAATTCGTTGGTCGACTCGGGTCGCACACTTGACAATAGTGGATGAGTTTCCCAACAAGGATTTTCTGCATTTACAAGGACTCGAACCGAGACCTTTCATAAGCAACATCATGCTGCTATCCACTTGAGTCAACTCTTATTGGTAAATCGAAAACTTTTTTCCATTTTGCAATAATCAGACATGTGATTGCTAATAAATTTACTCAATTCACCAACTATATAGGGACCCAATGTGATTAGATTCTAGCATATAGAACAAAATCTGATCAAAATGAGGCATCTTGGTTCTTGCCATCTTACAATCCACGCTAG